CCATGAAAACCTGCAATCCAAACTCAAGTGGATGGTTATCTACTTTACCAAAGTGCCCAAGCGAAGCCCAGAGAGTTTAGATTGCTCAAATCTGGCATATTGAGTGTTGTATTCCATACAATTCATAAGCAGACTGAATCTCACTGATGGCACATTTCTTGTTTCCTGTTTCAGCAAATATCTTGGTTATGACATGTGGAATTACATTGTCCCTTATTATTAATTGCAGAAAGAAAGCATGAGATGATAATTCCCCAGCAAAAAGAAAAAAAATTACCTTCTTGCAAACAAACAGATGTCTTTGATGACATACTACACACCCACTCAGTTTTCCAGCTGTGGTTCAGGACCACATGAGCCTGACCCGCAAATGAGACCTCATCTCTCAAATGTAACCTTAAGTGAGGCCATGTCAGACCATCAAAGGCCCAGGAGTGAAGGACAGTGGGAGACTGCACTAACACAGCAACACTTGGCATCCCACTGGGCAGTCACCCCAGCAGAAGTACCTTCCCAACAGTGAATGTTGACAGCAGGACCTAGCTCTCTTTTGCTCTAGTAAATGCAAATGCAAATGCAAATCCTCAGGGTCAATTCTTTCTGGGATAAAAATAAAAAGGAATGGTGCTAGTCATTCAGAGTTTCATCTTTTAACATATCAGAAAAATAGAAAAAAACCCACCCTTCTTTCTTATCTTTATTTACAGTTTATTCCTTTACCCATTCAACCATGCTTACATTTATTAACCATTCTAAATCCAGAGACAAAACCCTGCCTTCAGATTATCTTAAAGAGATTAGCTCACTGGTGTTGAGCACAACAGATTATATGAGGACACTGCACTGGCATGAATGTAAGGCAGCTCCAGATATAATGTAAATTTTTATATTTCAGGGGAGGAAACAGAACGTGCTCACAATCAGTGCTACTGTGCCAAGTGATCGTTGCCCAGACCAAGTCAAATGTGCTTTTCAGAGCTTCACTGGCTTTCTGACACTTCAAGGAAATGGGTGCAGGTACAGCTACCCAGGCCACTACTGGATGTTTAACATATAAGGTTGGCGCCTTCTTTTAGATCTCAGTGGTAGAGGAGTTTGTCGTCTCCATGGACCCATCTTTGCAGACTATGCTAAGGTTTGCTTTGTTGGATCTCTAGAGTCAGTCATAACAGGTTTTGCTATGTGACACACATTACTTCCTCTTACAGCTTAACTCTATGGAAGAAAACATCCATTGACAAATGACTGGCAAAATTTGGCAAGTGACTACCTGGGTTTCCCTTGCATTCTTTTATAGAAATAATGAATCATAGAATCATAGAATCATAGAATGGTTAGGGTTTGAAGGAACCTTAAAGATCATCTAGTTCCAACCCCCCTGCCACGGGCAGGGACACCTTGCACTAGACCAGGTTGCTCAAAGCCACATCCAGCCTGGCCTTGAACACTTCCAGGGATGGGGCATCCACAACATCTCTGGGCAACCTGTTCCAGATTTACTTTACTGTATATTTACTTTACTGTATATCTGCCATAAATGCATTTTAAATGGATTGGTCAATTTGAAATTGTGGCATTAATCAGCCAACAAGTCTTTAAGCCACTGCAAAGTATCAGCTGTTACATGTTAGTTATAATTTATATTGATAAACTTTTAAAGGCATCATTCCCATTCTTAGATTCAAGGATACAATTGCAGCTATTCTTTATCCATTACCTCTTTACCTACTTGATCATAGAATCATAGAATCACAGAATCATAGAATGGTTTGGGTTGGAAGAGACCTTAAACGTCATCTAGCTCCAGCCCCCCTGCCATGGGCAACCTGTTCCAGTGCCTCACCACCCTCTCCATGAAGAATTTCTTCCTGATATCTAATGGAATTCCCTAGCTAAGTACCGTGAGTAAGAGGCAATGTTTGAAGATGAAACCTTCTAAAAAAGTGGTGTCCAAGACATACATACTGAAGAATTAATGCTAAGCCCAAGTTTCAGTGTTGCTAAGCCCAAGTTTCAGTGTTATCATTATGTGAACTAGAACCCAGACACGCATTCCTGGGAACTATCAGGAGGAATGAGAAGCCCGTGTGCAGTTAAAAGTCTATGACCTCATTGGGATCATAGAAACATGGTAGGGAAGCTCACATGACTGGAGTGCTGCAATGGATGGATACAGACTCTTTAGGAAAGACAGGCTAGAAAAAGGACGGAGGGGGGATGTTGAAATTTTCAGGAATGCGCTACGGCTCTGCCTTGGGATGGGTCAGCAGTCAATGGAGAATTTACAGGTCAAAACTTGTGGGCAGAGCAATGTGGCTGTCGTAATGGGTATGTGCTATAGACTTCCTGATCAAGAAGGAGTAGTAGATTAGGCCTTCTTCAAACAACTGAAAGAAGCCTCAAGTTCACAGAACCTGGTCTTCATGGGGAACTTTAACCACCTTTTAACCTGGAAGGACAACATAGCAGGGCACAAGCAATCTAAGAATATTTTGGGGAGCGCTGACAACTTTCTGACACAGGTGATCAAGAAGACAATGATGAAAAATGATCGGTGGGATATGTACTTCCAAATGTTACAAATGGAATCACAGAATCACATAGTGGTTGAGGTTGAAAGGAACCTCTGGAGGTCATCTTGCCTAATCCCTCTGTTCAAGCAGGGCCACTGAAAGCCAGTTGCCCAGGACCACGTCCAGGCAGCTTCTGAGTATTAAAAAGGATGGAGAATTCACAACCTTTTTGGGTAAACTGCTCCACTGCTCATTCACCCACCCAGTAGCAAAGTGTTTCCTGATGTTCAGATGACATCTCCTGTATATTAGTTTGTGCCAATTGCCTCTTGTCCTGTCAGTTGGCATCAGTGAAAAGCACCTGGCTCTGTCCTCTTTGCACTCTCACTTCAGATATTTATACACATTGGTAAGTTCCCCTCTGAGCCTTCTCTTCTCAAGGCTCAACAATCCTGGCTCTCTCAGCCTTTCCTCACAGGAAAGATGCTCTAGATTCTTACCATCTTTGTGGCCCTTCACCAGACTCTCTCCAGTATGTCCATGTTGTTCTTGCACCAAAGACCCAGAACTGGACACAGCACTCCAGATGTGACCTCACCAGTGCTGAGCAGAGGGGATCACCTCTCTTGACCTGTGGCAATACTTTGTGTAATGCAGCCAAGGATACCATTAGCCTACTTTGCAGCAAGGGTGCATTGCTGGCTTGTGTTCAGCTTGGTGTCCACAAAGATTCACAAGTCCTTTTCTGACAAGCTGCTTTCCAGCTAGTCATCTGCTAGCATAAATTGGTGTCTAGTGTTGTTCCTCCCTAGGTGAAGGACTTTACACTTCCCCCTGTTGAACTTTATGAGGTGCCTGTCAGCTGATATCCAGGCGGCTGAGGTCCCTCTCAATGGCAACTCAACCCTCTGGTGTATCAAGCACTGCTCCCAGTGTTGTGTCATCTGCAAACTTTCTGAAGGTAGACTGTACCCCATCATCCAGATTGTTAACTAAGATGTTAAACAAGACTGGATTCACTATTGACCCCCGGGATACACAGCTGGTTCCTGAACTCCAAGTAGACTTCGTTCCACAGATCACCACACTCTGGTCCCAGCCCTTCAGCCAGTTTTCAATCCACCTCATTGTCTGTTCATCCAATCCATACATCAATGGCTTGTCTATGAGGAATTTAACAGGAGACAATGTCAAAAGCCTTACCAAAGTCTGAGTGGACAATATCCACTGCTCTCTCCTGATCTGCTAGGCCAGTAGTTTCATCATGGAAGCCAATCAAGTTGGTCAAGCATAATTTCCCCTTGGTGAATCCTTACTGACCACTCCTGATGATTTTCTTGCCATTCATGTGTCTGGAAATGGTTTCCAGGATTAGGTACTCCATCACCTTCCCAGGGATCAAGGTGAGGCTGACCAGTCTGTGATTCTCTAACTGAGATGACAGAGTTCAGGATCCTAAGAGGAGAGAACAGGACAAAAAAATAAGGACTAAAGCCCTGGATTTTGAGAGAGAAGATTTTAACCTCTTCAAAGATCTGCTTTTAATAATCCCATGGAATATTGTCCTGGAGAGAAGAGGGGTCCAGGAGAGCTGGCTGATATTCAGGAATCACTTCCTGCAAACCTAAGAATGGTCCTTCCTGACAAGTAGTAAAGCAAGCAAAGGTGGCAGGAGGCCTGCATAGATGAGCAAGGAACTTCTGATTAAATTCATAGTTTACAAGAGGTGGAAGCAGGGACGGATGACCTAGGAGACTTGGTGGCTGATTATGAAGGGATGAGGTTGGGAAAAACAAGGTCAACCTGGAGTTGAGTCTGGTGAGGGTTTTGAAGGGCAACAAGAAAGGATTCTTCTAGTATCTCAGTGGTAAAAGGGAGACTAGGGCACAGTGCTGAATGGGACAGGGGACCTTGTGGCAACGAATGGGATGTTGGTGGAGGAACTAATCCTG